TGCCCAGAGCGTGCACACTGCTGCTGACCGCTGTTAGTACTGCTTTAAACTTGGATTTGTATCCCATGTACAAGTTTTATCATAATTGTTCAAGGAAAATGTGGCACTTAATAAATTGGAAGCATTGAATGGAAAGGCTATGGTATTGATGGAAATATGTCTTGGTCGACTGATGATGGAGGGCAAGTGTCAACGTCCAACAAGGGTTGATGGTTTCTGCGCCATGGTCCGTGGCGCTTGAGGAATGCCAACTAGGGCTGGTTTCGTTTGACTGAGTCCAACGGACTGGGTTACAGTAAACTACTACTGACCTCAGTGAATCAAAGCTTGAACCCAGAAATGAACTGGTATATTGAGTCTCACTCGTAACTTCTTGAGCCTGTCCCTAAGCCTAACAAATCTGAAGGATTTAGGATTGCGTCTATATGTGTGGAATGAAAATCTAAGGTTCACTCAATTTCGCATTCCCAATCCAAGGTATCATTATGGTGGGTGCATGAGGAGAACATGGAGAACATATGCTCAATGCAGATAAACTATTGGGCTGGTTCATAAGTTTGTATAGTCAGGCATTCGTTCTCCTGGGATGAATGACTAAATAATTTCAAGTTTTGCAGCAATATTTTTCCATCTCCTGACATGTTCTCCATTTGGGTTCACATCACGGGTTGAAATGAGGAGACGACGGCGACTTCAAAGAACATATATCATTGTGCAGTTACAGCTAGTTTAAGTATGTTTTGTAAGTTAACAGATCAATCGATTGTGCTATAAAATATGTATTGATAAGAGCAAATTTTTGGATGATAACGAATTGAGCGCCATGTTTCAGTGAAAAAAGCCTCTCCAAGTCTGTCAATTTTGCTTCGATCAGCTTTGGATGGGAAATTTGTCCTCAATGTCCACCAGAGAGCGAGCATCTCAGAAGTCAGGGTTTTTGTTAATGAAACGAGGATTTACTTCAAGTATTGCTGTTCATTTCAGGCGAGTTTGGGGGATTATACGGTAGATTTGTTTGGCAGATATGCTCAAACGTATTCAAGGGGGAAAAGGCCTTTCTCTGAATGCCTCAAAGCGTGATTTTGAAGACATTATCGTGGTTCTGACATCTGTTACTGTGAACATTCGCTCTTTGAAAGCTCCTTGAGGGGATGGTAAGATTTGTTATCGATGATGACGAAATAACCAGCATTAAGCAAACTTTAGAGAACAATTTTATATCATTCACAAATCACAAATAACACTGGATCGAAAGTTGTATATGTAATCACCATCGAACAGTTCGTGGGGCTGCGTTGATGGTATGATTGAAAAGAATCTTTTATCTGTATGGAACAGCCGAGCTAATTTACTCGCGTTTGTCCAACTTACCGTCATTTCCGTTAGTGCAATTAATAGATTAATATTTTGTTCCCATTTGAATAACCTTTTCAATCAAGAAAACTATACCTGTCATGCTTGAATATTCTAAAATAAACAATTATTCGTGTTTTGAGTTAATTTCTTCGGATGAACGGGTCAAAGGTTGACCCGCGCATTCTGAAAATTTCACGCAAATCGGCCATGGAACAAGTAGAATGCATGCCATGATTCTGAGAAATTAAAGCCTGCTGGTGACGTCTGTCACCTTATGTCCTAATATACTAATCGGCCCTGCATAATTCCGCGCGGCGCAATTTCCTCGCAGCTACATCATGGCAACCACGACATCGAGCCGACATTCAAGTCGGATTCCAAAACTTCTTTTATCTATTTTATCCTCACGGCCTCGAAGGAAAGTAGCACGATGCTTTGTGCTTTTCCTCGGTATGCAAAAATATGCGTGAATTTGTTGCCACTTCGGGTTAACATTCGGGTTATACTTTCTGAGGAACTATCCGGCGAACAAGAACCGGTCTTGAGAGCCTTCTTGCACAGCACGACTTTCCAAGAAGTCTCGTGAAGGGATTTGCATCCCCTTATAATATATCATGGGTGTAGAAGGAAGCACGAGCCCTTGCTGATGACAAGTCAGTGGGTAGGGTGGGGGGATCAAAATTATTTGAGATGTACAGCAGTATTTCCGAGCTGGCATAGATAATCATCAGGAAGGGGGAAAATATCTTCCGCCGAAGCTGATGGCCTTTATCCAAACAATCGAGGCAATTCTTTCATAAAATCACGGAAGCTCTAGTAAAATAAATTTGAAGGGAATATTTCCACCTCGAACTTGGAAATTTTAATTAACTACCATCGGCGGCAGTCCGTCGTCTCTTTTTGGTACTCAGAAGAAATTCGTATTCTCGTCTGAATAGACTTTAGATCCTCCATATATATATATATATATATATAGAGGATCTAATAGTATATATAGTATATATAAATAATGACGTTATGTGCGTATAGTTGCGTACACGAGCTGACTTCGGAGTTGCATATGAAAGACTATAGCATCCTTCAGAACGCGGGTTTTTAGCCAGCAGTTCTTATACTGTACTGAGTTCTATAACGCGTACATATACGGCGTACGCATACCACGTTTGGTATTCTCATGCTGCACCAAGCACAGCAGGTGTTAAACAGGTACGGAGGATATTGCTCATTTGCTCTGCTTTTAAAGCTGATTAATATCCTATTTTGCAAATCACATGTCCATATTGTGAACCAAAAGACGTATGAAAATTACTCTTCGACAAGGACCATCTTTTTATAGGCCAAGCTGCATGGTGTACGGCGAAATAACGCGACTCATTGAATGCAGATGAGGAATCCTACGCAATAAATTCTGCTGCATGTAACAACCTTCCATAGCAGGTGTCTGCAATAGTACCACACGAGGTACGCCGTCCGCATACGCATATACACAACACTGTCAGAAAACCTCTGTTGAAGTCCGTTTCTCAACGCCGGAACCGTTCGAAATGTGCATTACTATGTTAGTGTATGTATGTAAACATCGTGACGATGAAAAGGTTAAAAATATATCTTACCTTTCCACAGCATATATATCCTTCAGCTTCATCCGGGCGGTATTCGGACATCATCAGCATATGTCCATATGACGCAACTGCTCGAATTTACAGTCGCGCGACAGAGAAAGAAGCGCTCACGTGATGTACTGTATATACACAACCAAACGCAATGCACTGCTATATCATAGTCCAAAAGAAACAACTCTTTTTTTATGTGACAAGTAGACTTTGTCTGAAGAAAAACTTAATTTGAAACAAGAAAGGGAAGAAGTGATCACGCGTCCAAGACGATTGTTAATTTCACTATTCAGGATTCAGCAGCACGGAACACTACGAAGTGATGATGGGAACATTTTAGTCTCGAGAAAAGCGCTGCAATGCGTGGCAATTATATGAGTTCGGCAAGGATCAAGTCACAATAAATGTATCATATGTACGTATACATGATTATCAGAGATTATCGTGTGTATCACTCACACAATCTGCATTGGGAAACTTTCCTATGCATCATGCAGGCAGTTCATGCTGAGCATCAGTGCATTGTATAGCGCCATCCGTTCAGTGATCAACAGCGACCTCTATGAAACGATGGCCATACTTCTCGTAAGCCTCCTGGCATCCATGATACTGCACAGTATAGAATGGCAATGAGATGCATCTGAGTCAGAGTGAAGTGCTGGACGTACAGCAGCATTGTAATGAAAGTCTTTCAGTGGTGTTTGTGATGCAGAATCAGCAGCAACATGTTTAAAATACAGTAAGGACAATCCTGCACTACTGGATACTCTTCAATATGACAACTTATTGTTTAGAAAATTAATAGTCCCATTCATTCCTGTATTTGAGTGTTGATTAAACCTTATTGTATTTCCTTGAATAATCAGCCCTCATTAAAGGATAGAACAAAAATGTGCCACAAACAACACAAACTTTGAAAGATGTCTTGATTTATTTCCAATGTTTCATCTTCTTTTATACAGTATATATATAGAATATATACTGGCAGAAATACAGCTGCCAGTACATACATGGCACAAAAGCATCTTTCATCTTATATATATATATATTTATTTATTTATTTATTTATATATATATACTGTATATACTGGCAGAAATACTGCTGTGTGCTTCAAAAGCATCTTCCATCAGATTGAAAAAAGATGAAACGTTGGAAATACATCCAGACATCCATCAAAGTTTGTATTGTTTGTGGCACATTTTTGTTCTATTCTTTTAATATATATGCATATGCTCATATTGTCATGGCAGGAACTATTATTTGAAATTTCTGCCAGTCTTTAGTAAAGTAGAACCATGCAAGCAAATCACTTGGATGAGAAATAGCTGCGGAGATTTGCAGGAAAGAAAACCTGCAAATACTGGAACAATTAATACTGATGGAACCAGTTGAAAACCCATGGCAAGGCACAAGTGGAATTTAAAATTTTCAGAGTTCTCTTTATATAGTACTGTATTTACTATAAATACAGACCTAAATTCGTGTGAAAAATCAAAATACTATTGTTTATGCCGTTTGCAGCATATAATTGTCGTGATGCATGCAGCATGCAATACAGGCGTACAGATACGTACAGCAGTTACAAGTACTGTACTGTACAGTATTTCATCTCAGACCTCTAGAGAGAGCTCACCAATGAGCTACATTGGTTCATGTTGACTACTTCCGTGACACGGACAACGCCGCTATTTTTCCAGCTCTGCATCCACCTATCCATATCTCAGATTCTCAGCTTTCTCTAATGGACTAAAATATAATGGAGCTTCTTTCAGTACAGCGTCCTGTAAGGGAATGGAAGGGATTCTAGTAGTTCTGGGTACGAATAGATGGAGGCAGCGGCAGAACATGGCGGCGTTCGGTATTCGCTTCATGTGCTATTTAACGAAGCGGGATCTGGTTTAGCGCAGTTGGATTCAGTTTCGCAAGCGTGACAGCTCTTACTTGGAGCCGGTTTTCTCTAGGTGTCGTGTTTGAAGTTCCATAGCCACTGTGTTTCCTCTTTTCTAGGCAATTTTCGTGTGCGATGTATCATGCGCTGGTACGCTTCTATTAAACCCTTGCTGCATTTGCCTGGTTTTAGTGGGTACCCGGTGTGGCGTAGACTGGTTCTTGCCGAAGTGAAAAAGGTATTGCGTGTTCCCTCCTTCGTGGATTTTTCAAACTCACCGTCATCGACTAAGAATAATCTTTTGAGAGCCACGATGCAAGTCGAAATCCGTGGATCAGAATACACGGAAAATTTCCGAATATTTTTCAGTAAGTAATGTGAACATTTGCAGCGTATATTTTGCTTTAGCCGCCAATTTTTGTTGTTTCAGAAAATGATGAAGGACGGTACATCTCTCCGATGCATGATATTCCATTGTTTGCGAATGTCGAGAAAAACATTTTGAATATGGTTGTCGAAATTCCTCGCTGGACAAATGCTAAAATGGAGGTAACTTCAAATATCTTCATCGTTGTTGCGCTTTCTACGACTTTCCCCTATTCTGACTTGTGTGTAGATTGCAACGAAGGATCCGCTGAACCCCATTAAACAAGATTCGAAAAATGGGAAGCTCAGGTTTGTTCATAACTGTTTCCCGCATCATGGTTATATATGGAATTATGGAGCTCTACCGCAGGTCTGTATTCATGTTTTCGATTTCATTTAAAACTTACAATGAATTTGACTGCCTTAAGACTTGGGAGAATCCGCATGTGACGGATCCTCACACCGGCGCCAAAGGGGATAATGATCCACTAGATGTTGTGGAGATCGGTTCAAGAGTTGCCAAACGGGGTGAAGTGATCGAGGTTAAAGTTATTGGAATCCTGGCTATGTTGGATGATGGTAAGATATTCTGTTTTTTATATTGCTCATTAGTATAAAAAAACACCTCTTGCTTTGAAGGTGAAACGGACTGGAAAGTGATTGCTATCGACGTCAGGGATCCAGTTGCCGAGCAAATCAACGGTGAGTTACGGGAATGGGGTACAATCGAGTTCGTGTCTGAAGAAATTTTTGAATGCTGTCGAGTTGAAAAGTGACGTCGTTGGGTTACTTCGGATGACAATTGCATTTGAAATTACCGATTGTGACGGGCGAAAAAAATTTTTCAGATATGAAAGACTTGGAGAGATTAATGCCGGGTTACTTCAGTGCTACTGTGGAGTGGTTCCGAATTTATAAGATGCCAGCAGGTATGTATTGTCCTCTATTCCATTTACTTTATTGCTGGTTAATTTGTTGTCGTAGGTTCTCCGCCAAACGAATTCGCATTTGATGGTGACGCTAAGGATCAAACGTTCGCCCTGCGGATTATCGAAGAGACCCACAACGAGTGGAAGAAATTGATGAATGGAACGACAAATAAAGGAAAGCTTGAACTGTAGGTTAACACTGCTGCTCTACTTGTTCACTAGCACATCTGATTTTTGTCGTATGTTCTACAGGACGTGTACGTCTTCTGATGCCGGAGGTGTGAAAGTGGACGATGATGCAGCTGTCGGTATTGTTAGTGCATTTGGTCCTGCCGAAGGAAAGGGTGAAATTCCGGAAGAAGGTGAAGTAATTTTAGTTAATAGCGCTCAAAAACTTCGCTCCTCCTCTGGAATATTTCGCTTTGTTTTATAGGTCATTTCTGGTTATTAGAATTTTTCAGTTCCGGTGAATTTTTTTTTTTAATACTGCACGTCGTCTCGAGACTTCCCAACAACACGATGTTCTGTGCCCTGACCAGGAATTGACCTTCTTATTCTTTTTTTCCGTCAAATCTTCAACATCTACAAATCCTACCGTTGTTGTTGACCACGCGTCGATATCATCACCCATATTGCCTGCAATTCGGCAAGTTCCTCATTGTATTCACCTTTGATTTCAGGGGACAAATGGCATTGGATCGGTAAGAAATCGAAGAAGTGAAGCGGACAAGCGGGAACGTGCGTCACCCCTTCGATAATTCATATCCGAGGACTTCCTCTCCGTGATCGGTGGCTTTTTAGAACTTCGCTTTCAAAGTACCCCATTGATGAATTCGTATCAAAGATGGTGTATTTCAAGTTTACTTTTGTGAAATGCCGTGCTGAAATCGTCGGCAATAAAAGGCATCCTGAAGCATTTAACTCTCTTGATAATTGAGAAATCCTCAAAATTATTTATTCAGTCTTCACTGTTATTCCAGTGCTACTGTTGCAATTTCGCGGTATCAAAATGGCCAAAAAAATTGACATGGAATTGAAAAAGGTTCGTTCTAGTTCTGTTGCCTGCCATCGCATCACTGATAATGTTTTCTGGCAGGCATTTACCGAACTTCAAGTGAAGATGGCTGATACAAATGCGAAAATGGCTTTGGCAAATCACCAGACTGAAAATCTCCGCAGAGTTGTTCAACGCTCAGTTCTTACTGACAACGAAATGGAGGTTTGAAACTTGTTTGAAACAAGTATTGCAGTTGAATATTTTTCAAATTTTACAGAATCTCCCGGTGGATACAAAGGTGTACGAGCCAGTGGGACGAGTTTTCGCCATGACGAGTATACCTGCTGTGAGAGGCTCACTCAAAGTGAAAGAAGATGAAGCATTGGAAAAAATCAAGGCATTAGAAGTTAGTAATGTTTGCGTCGAACTTCCTTTTTTTTTTACTTCATTAGCGTTTCGTTGTTCCAGGAACAGAAAGCACTGTTCAGCAACAGCCTAAAAGACGCAGAAGCCAAGCTTCGTGAGATGGTGAAAGTAAAACGTGATAATCTCTGATATTCGTGTATATATACGTATGATACTTTTATTGCGGCTTGGTCCTTGCCGAATTCTTTTAATTGCCACGACTTGCAGCGCTTTTGTCGTGAATAAAATGTTCCCAATTCATGTCGCGTGAATCCTGAATTGTAAACCATCTTGGACGAGTAACTCACTTCTCTTTTGTTTCAGACGAATGGTTTCTTCTGGCGAAGTCAACTTGACATATAATAAGAAGTGGTTTTTTTAAACTACGATATAGTGTACTGTGTTCGGTTGTGTCACGTGAGCGCTTCTTTTCTGTCGACCAGCGAAAGAGATTGCAATCCTACACTCAGAGATCGTCGTGATTTTCTCCTGAATGGCCTGCTAGTTTGCTGGTCGCGTTTTCCTCGTTCGTGCGTCTGGGATTTTTGCGTTATGCGAACATCATAATACAATGTGAGCTATTTGAGCACGCGTAGAAGCAGTTTTAATCGAATGTGCCCTGCATACTATGTTTGGCCCCTTCGATTGCTTCAGTCCGAAGTTATTCAATGATAAATTTACCTCAAGACTACACTGCTGATATTTTGTGCATGACGGATGCTGAGTAGTTCATTTTTTATTCCGTAGGCGCTTTGCTTTCTTTTAAGCTATTTCAGAGACGTAAATTCCAATACGTCATGTCCGAATACCCGGAAGCTGAAGTTAACCAGCTCCTGGACATGGGGTTTTCTTTGGAGCTTGTGTAAGTGAATTTATTGATTTTCATCGATGATTGCTTGAACGTTTGTTTGTAATTCCACAGAAAATTTTCGTTGAATGCGAACAGTCGAAACGTGAACGACGCTGTGGAATGGTAAGATATACGGAAGTTTTCACGGCGTTTTCCTGACAATTTTTGGATCATCAGGCTTTTGGTGCATGGGGAGGATGCCGAACGGTCCATGTTGGAGTCGATGTCGACAGGCAATGCTTCTGCCGGTCCTGTCGCATCCGAATCACAATTACCCGTTGCCTCAGTTTCATCTAATGATGCTCTGACCGTGCCGGTTGCCGTCGTCGAGCCTGTTGTTGTGGAACCAGATGCTCCAATGGATGATGTCAGTGTGACCGCTACCGATGCTGCTCAAGATTCTTCATCTGTTGTTATCACGGAAATGCGTGCCAGCGCCGGGCATGAAGAGGAAGAAAATAAGCCAGCGGAATCTGAGGAAAAAGGCGTCGACGATGAAGGCAAATCTTTAGCGAAAAGCCTCAAGTGTCTCGAGTGAGTTTCGATCTACATCAGACTGAGGAATTTTTCTTTGACTTACGTTTAATCAAAGAAAATTATTGTATTCGAATTTCTTACTCAAGTCTCGTGAGTGTCATTGACGTAGCAGGCTTATACAGTACCTATATTTACTACAACTCGACGCGTTCGTTTATTCGGTAATTTGGCAAGATAAATACAATATGGGGTTATAATCAGATGAAAATCTATCAATTTTCTTAACTTTCTCCTGGAAAAATTAAGGTTCAAGGTATACATGGGGGGCACGGATTTATAGTTATTGATTCCTTTTCTCCTCAGTTGCAACACGTTGTTCTCGAATGTTGATGAAGCGGAGATCCACGCCTCTAAAACTAAACACGTCAATTTTTCTGAATCAACGGAGGAAAAGAAACATTTGACGGAAGAGGAGAAAAAAGATCGTATTTTGAAACTTCAAGAAAGACTGAAACTGCGTCGTTTGGAGCGTGAACAGCAAGAAAAAGATGCGGCTATCATGAAGGAAAAAAATCGTATCAAAACTGGGAAGGAGATCGCCGAGATGCGTCGCAAGTATGCGCTAATTTCAAGTTTGAATTGTGAGGGAATTGTTGCCTATGATTTTTCAATTTCATGTTCAGACACGAGGAGCAGGAGATGAAAAAAATCGCTGAAGAACGTAGGCGCGAAAAATTAGAGGAAAAACAGGCAAGACAGCGTGTGTTGGAACAAATCGCGAAGGATAGAGCTGAAAAAGCACAGAAATTGGACAATGTGATCCCGAAAATGCCATCTACGCCTGAGCCGGCAGCTGGCACGTCTTCATCCGAGGGAAAAAAATCTTACGATAAAACTACGCTTCAGGTATACATTTTGACTCTTGGGTATCTTCAATGTTGTAAACTTATTCACTCCTCAGCTTCGCTTACCGAATGGATCTACCCTTACCGGGACGTTTGGGGCGAAGGAAACTCTCGCGTCTGTACGTTTGTTTGTCGCAAATTCAACGGGCAACTTCCGCGATCCTACCAAAATAGGGTTGATGACGAATTTTCCGAAGCGAGTTTTTTCTTCCGAGGATTCAGATGCCCCACTTTATTCCCTTGGTAACTATTCTTACCCTTATCTTTCCGTACATCTAACGATGCGTTATTTCTTGTTTTCGCAGACTTGGTGCCTTCGGCCGTGCTGTACGTCAAGTTCCTTGAAATTTCCGTTGATGCGGGCATCTGATTATTCCTTTCGACGTTTCGTTTTGATGGCTTTTTGGGTCTTATGTTTGAGTTAAAGTGTGTAAATTTTGTTTGAAGCCCCGTTTGTGCTTCTTTCAGTGGTCGATTACATCTCAAATTTTTGCTCGTGCGGGTCGCAGTAGATCCATTGAATTTTTAAATGAAATATTGTATCAATGCATCCTGCTTTAAAGAGAAATTGTGTTCGGTATGGCGTGGTGCCGTACAAAGGGAGCTCACCGCGCGCGAGACTTGTTGAAAATCAAGTTCGAAGTTTCTTCCTTTTCCCAAGTTCGTCATGCCCACCCGGCTTTCACTGATGAGGAGTTCACTCTCAGAAAGAAGTGAGGACCCGGATTTAATTTACCTTACAGTCAGATAGTATGATAGTGTAATATTTTCCCCCGTCGCAGGGCCATGGCTCGATTTCGTAAAGACAATGAGGATTGGATGAAGAAGAAGATTAAAAGCACTATCCCAACATTAGATCTGGGGTATATGACTACGAAGAGTGAGGGTCTAGCGGAATACAGTGAAGAACCGGAGTATCCTCCTCTGTTCGATTGCTCCAAAGAAGGTTTAACGAAGTACAAGAGGGACAGATGGATACAGAGAATCCGGGAATATCCGACAGTGGAGGAGAAAATGTTCTGGATGAATGAGCGGCGTTATTACGGGTTCAACACGTATGTGATGCAACCTGATCACGAACCGTACGGTGCACTGGACTTCCTGAAGGCATCTACGAGAACTAAATTAATTCAAGGATTGCCGGTCGATTACGAAGATCTGAACGCCGTTGCTGATTCACTGCTGCCACGAGTAAAGGAAAATATTATTTCTAAGTTGAGTTCTTTGTTGCGAGCTCAGCATCTGAACGATAGTTCTGACGTAAATTCCGGCGATGCGATACAAACCCTCGTTGACGCTCTTTTAGAAGAGCTGTCGGGTGATTTTGCGCATCTGGAAAGTGCTTCGGTGAGATCCAGCTGCTGTTTACCCTCTTCGAACACATATATCTAGTGTTTATATCTGTTTTCCCAGGTTGATATACGTCCTCGCGTGGAGGCTCAGTGGTTCTGCGGTGGGTTTTATCCGCATCGAATGCGACGAAAACAGCTGAAAGGAATCTGTGACGAGGAAGATTATTACATGCAAAAAGTGTCTTATCCAATTCAGGTAAACAGAGCTGTGTACATTATGTCTTTCACTCCGAATTTACTTGTTAATTTTCAGATCGTTTGTGATACTGCTGCGCAAATCCGGACGCAAGACCCACTCCCTGCGTTTGTTGATTTGAGTGATGCTGTCGTTGAAAGCTCACCAGATTCTAGCCCTAAGTGGCCGTTTCTTCCACGTTGTTTCCAGATTCCGCTGACGCACCGTTTCGGCGTTTCGTTGCCGGGTATGTTGGATTTTCTTTCATTTTAATATTTTCTGTAACATTATTCCGATACGAGGATCGGAATTATTCTTATTTCTGCTAATGTGAATCGTTGATTTTATATCCTCTCCAGGTTTTTGGCCGTCTACTACGTGTGAATTCGGTCAAGCGTCATTCTCGCCCCGCACGTTTTTGAGGGAATCGGGGAAATATGTATTCGACGATCTCTACGATATCAATGAAGCACTCCAGCAGCGTGCCATCAAAGCGGGCTTTGCTTGGACTTTCGCCCAAGCGACCTTCCAAGGATTCGAGTGCTATAATGATATCACATACCCGCTGGTCTCCCAGGGAGTCCTCACTGATGGGCAGCGATTCACATTTTATGCCTACCAATTGAATACCACCAAATTGCATGATGAATTCGTCGACGCGAATCCGAAATGGAATCTCTGTTGGTGTTCAGAGGATATGAAGCTTTACAGTGACTTAGATTCTGACGGGAATATCGTTGGTAAGATTACGCCGTCTGCAGAAGACTACAGATATTCGTCATCTTTTGTTCATCTCTTTTGCAGGTGTCAATGACCAGGTGATCCGTCTGTTGATCAAATTTCTCGTGAAGACCCCTAGTCGACGGCAAGGTGTGAACATGACGCCGTACTTGGGCCCAGAAAAGTTTGTGCAGAATCTGCCGGACGGTCCGTATAAAGATTATATCGCAGAACAGTTCAAGTTCATGGCTTCAAATCGTCCTAGGATGATGCCTCGTCCGGAAATATACATGTGGGAAAAAATTTACAAAATTGATCATCCTCGAAGACCTCGCGACGCGCGGACAAGGTTTTTCGAGCTTAAGAAGAACCCGAATCCATCAATCGAAGAGCGATTGCGAGATTCTTTCAGGGTTTGAGTCATCGATTTCTTTTTCTTTTTTTTTCGGGAAATGAACAGTTCTGAATTGGCGACTGATCGTATACCAAAAGCTGTGTCAAACTTTGAATATTTCGGATATCTTTGAGCGTATCCTTTATGTAATTCCTCGTGATTTTCAGGAGGATCGATCGAAGTTCGTAACGGTTAGCCACTACCCTGAGTTATTGAGTTTCAAATTAAACATAATTAATTCACGTCTTGGTGACGTTCTCTATTTCAGGTTCTGTATTTGGTTGGAATTTTGCAGTGATTATACAAGTGCAATATTATGGCCGACATCGAAATAACCTGTACCAAGGTGCGTTAGTAGGAGTTTACTGCGTTCCCTCATAAACTTTTCACTAACGTTGTTACAGATATTCATTGACAATGAGTTCGTGGATGCAGTAAGCGGGAAAACATTTCAAGTGCTCAATCCATCCACCGAAGAAGTACTCTGCGATGTTGCTGAAGGTGACGTTGCAGATGTGGATAAGGCGGTGCAGGCAGCCCAGCGAGCCTTTGCTCTGGGTTCAACCTGGCGCACCATTGATGCCTCAGAGCGAGGAGTAGTGATGAATCGACTGTGTGCTTTGATCGAAAAAAATACGGATTACATCGCAAAGCTAGAAGCGCTCAATAATGGCAAAGCATTGAAGTATGCCGCCGATGATGTGGGTTATTCACTTTCTGTTCTACGTTACTATGCTGGGTATGCTGACAAAATCCATGGAAAGAATGTCCCGATCGGTAAGTTAATGCCTTAAATGCATATTCTCTGACATTTCTGTCAATATCAAGCTCCTGAATATCGTACATATCGTCATTCCGTTGTTGAATGAGCGGTGGCAGTAAAATTCACGGTTTCACGTGTTGACTATTCACTTGGCCTTCCCATTGCAGATGGCGACTTTTTCTCTGTGACGAAGCCGCATCCTGTTGGTGTCGTCGGTCAGATCATCCCATGGAATTACCCTCTCTTGATGCTTGCTTGGAAGTGGGGCCCGGCATTGGCGGCTGGTTGCACCGTGGTTCTCAAGCCAGATGAGCGAACTCCGTTGACAGCCTTGTTCGTTGCACAACTGGCGAAAGAAGCGGGATTTCCTCCAGGAGTCATCAACGTGGTCCCTGGCTTTGGCAGCGTTGTCGGAGCTGCTATTGCGAGCCACATGGGGATAAACAAAGTTGCATTTACGGGATCTGTTCCGGTAAACATCGTCTTTGTTCGGCGCGGGAGCCCGAGATGCCGCTTCGAATTCCTGGATGAGCGAGCGTGGTGAATGATTTTTTTCAGGTTGGAAAACTCGTCATGGAAGCCGCGGCGAAATCGAACCTTAAGCGAGTACTTCTGGAGTTGGGTGGGAAGTCTCCTCTTTGTGTTTTTGCCGACACCGATGGTAAAAGTTTTGTTCGATGTGCATTTCTTGTGTAAATAATTGCTTTTTCTTTTAGTTGACGAAGCCGTCAAGATTTGCCACAACGCTATTTTTATGAATCATGGGCAAAATTGCTGCGCGGGTTCGCGTACTCTGGTGCAGGATAAAATCTACGATGAGTTCGTTCGTAAGGCCACGGCAATGGCTAAAGAGAGGAAAGTTGGGGATCCTTTTGCTGCAGACACCGAACAAGGTCCCTTGATTGATGCGAACCAGGTGAAACGCGTACTTGGGTTTATAGAAGCGGGGAAGAAGGAAGGAGCGAGGCTGCTCACTGGAGGAGGCAGACTTCCTGTTAAAGGCTTCTTCGTAGAGCCAACTGTGTTCGCTGATGTGCAAGACTCCATGAGCATTGGCAAAGAAGAGGTACAATTTTATGCAGACTTCTGATTAGTCGGGATTTTTCACGGAGTTTTTGTTCCGTAGATTTTTGGACCTGTGCAGATCATCCAGAAGTTCAGTACGATGGAAGAACTGATCCCGCGAGTTAATTCGTCTACGTTTGGCTTGGCTGCTGGAGTTATTACGGATGATGTCACGAAAGCAATGACTTTTGCGAACTCAGTAGAAGCAGGGTCCGTTTGGGTTAACTGCTATGATATCGTTGCTGCTCAAGCTCCGTTTGGAGGATTCAAGATGAGCGGACAGGGACGCGAGCTGTGAGTAATTTCCCACGCTTAAAAAGTTCATAGTTAACACTTCATGATTCTTTTCCAGCGGTAAATATGCACTGCAGGAGTATGTCGAAATGAAGACAATGACATTCAAGATTGCGGAAAAGAATTCCTGAGCGAAATGCGAAAGATAATTCCGGTGATGGTCATTAACGATAGTGGGGAACAGAGCTTTTTGTTTCAGCGGTCTGGTGATGGATGATTTAGTCCTGGTCAGTGGAACAATAAATGAGGGGATTGCAGTATGTTCTGATGTTTTTGAAAGATGGCCGGTGTTATTTTGCGCCATTGCTCGGGTCCAGAAAATACTCCGAGCAGTGTATACTATTGTGTGGTTGATTTTTGTTCGCATCCTTCGGTTGGATTGATTGAATAACTTTGTTATTGTTTGCAGAAGCATGGCTGTGATTAAGAAGTTTGAAGTGCCTTACTTCAGAACTCCGATTTCGTTTTCATTTGGTTATTATGATGGAGAATGCTTCTGTTACCTGATGCTGTGTTCCCATAATCGGCGCCGGGATCGCGATTCAAATGCAAGTGTATCTTCGATCAAAAACCAAGCTAGGAAAGCGTTCCTAGTATTTCGCCTCCTTTTCATGTCATGGTCAAAAGGTGCTACAGCCGAGACGCAGAACAATATACGGTGAGTTTTACTCGCATTCTTTAGAGTCATCAAGCTAGCATGCCTTTGTGTGTGCCTCACTTTCCTTGGCAAAATTATTTTGTTCAGTAAGTTTCGTCGAAGTCCCAAGTTTTTGCAGATTCTGCATTTTTTGTATTCGATCGCTTACTGACCTGATTCATCTTTGTCATTTTTCATGCTACCGATGAACAAACCTACAGAACACCGACGGAGCATGTATTTCGGTGCAATTTGAGGATTCGGGTGAACAAATTCGGAATGGATTCATTGAAGTGCACGCTTTCATAATTTTATTTATAGTCAGAGGTCCTCTTGTTGTAAACATTACGCTTGGGATCTCCATTTGATTTACTATTCCTTTATGAATCGTTATTGCGTTGAGAAACAGCTCATCGATAATGGAATTATTGTTTTTGACGTAATTCCAGAAAATTTTGAGCAGTTGAAATTTGCTCATGCGCCTCCTCGTGAATGGGTGCTATTCAGTGACATCACAGAAGCGAAGTATGATTTTCGAAAGTAAGTCCAATTAAAATATCATTCCGATGCGATTTTCAGAATTTTAATTTTTTTTTTAGATCTGGAAGAAATGGCCTCCATGCATCACGACCAAGACATTCGCACGATACCCGCACTTGAGTGCATTTAAATATCATACGAAATACCGAACTTCGGGAAAACTCTTCGGAAACCATGGACAATAACCCATTTTTAATGAGCGACGTGGATTGCTTTGGGGACACATCGTCGAATCCATTCTTGAGCGGGTTGCCTAGCAAGGTAGAGCTGGAAATAGAACCGTTCGGGATTCCTGATGCTGCAGACTACAACCCCGATTTAAATCCTTTCCTCTCGGCCATGGAGGATTCGAACAACACCTTCATGAATTTAGTGCCATCAAACAACAACATATTCGACATTGAGCATTCTGTGCCAACATTCAATATTCAATCAGCGAATGAGCCTCAGAAATCTACAAGTGAAACTAAAGACTTGATTATGAGCATCACCAGTTTCATGGACAACGCCTCTGAAGCTCTCCTTAACCAAATGGAAATCGCGAGGACCCCTATTCCTTCCCCTGATGCCGAACTCCATCTCGTTCCATCCCGAGATAGCCCTGTTTTTGGAGCCAGCCCCGATCCACTAATCTTCGAGGTAATTGTTTTTATTTTTTGCTGGGAGATGACAAAAGCTCAATATTTTTTCGGATTACAGCATACCGGGCCAAAATCTTTCAACCCGTTCGCTGAATTCATGGACGTGTCCGTGGAGCCGAGTGCTCCTGTCCACTACGATGCTTCTAGTTTTGGAGGTGGTATTTTCTCGCTTACAAGTGAACCAGAACCAAACTTCTTTTCCCCGAACGCAACTCATCAACCTGAAGCCTCAGAAGCTCTGCTTGTGGATCTGTTGAGCGATGGTATTGAGGATGCATCGACCGTTCCGTTTATTCCGATGAAAACCAGTTTGCTCGATGAGGACATAGTTATGGAACCATTACCACCAATACCGCCGTCGATCGTCGAAGACACTCTGTCTGCAGTTTCGCCGATCGAATCTGTGGCTGCAGTTGCCGAAGAAACCGTTTCGAGCTTTGAAGCATTCCACGCGCCACGAGCGGGCACACGACCTCCACCACCAAAACCGCCGCCGCCACATCGACCTCCTCGCCCGGCTGCACCGTCAACCCCTGATCGCAATATGTCTTTGGGTTTGACTTCCTCGCCTGTCTTGGATACAATTCCTTCACCGATGCCAGCGTCGATGTTGAGCTCGAGACAATCTTCTGCGTCAGCATCGCCGGAATTCTCCGCGGTGCCGTCAATTGCAGAGTTATTGAGTCAGCCGGTGAGGACCATATTGGCGGACCAGTTTGCGACGGAGCAGATCGTGAAAGATGATCCGAACAGACTCAGTGCAGTTCTTGAATCGATGACCGGAGGATATTCGCCTACAACGAATTTGAGTGGGGATGCCTTCAATCATGTTGAGGAAGATACCCAACGAGATGATGCTCCAACGGGTCAGTTTGCGTCGAAGCCCCAGATTTTTCAACCCGGTGAGTCATCCGAACAGGCGAGAAAATATGTATGAGGTTCATGAATCCTGTAAGAAGTGTCGTAAGAAAGCCCATACAAAATATAAGTGTCGATTATCTGATTCCATATTCATTGATTCGTTGGGTTTGAATTTCAATCCATCGAGTGGAAGCAAAGTTGTTCGTATACTGTACATGGAAATTTTTAATTGAAGCTATTCTCATTATCATGAGCTGCTACTGGCGAAGTTTTAAGGGTTCATAATTTTTCTCGGTCGTGTTTTTTCGCGCATTCTTTTCATTCAAAAGTCGTGTGTGTGTTTTATTTTGCAGGGCCGGAAGTCGCCATCAGTCGTCCCTCAACAAAAAAAATTGATCCTTCTATAATGAGTACGACAGCGTGGTGCGTTCCGCCGCCTCCGACAACCAAAATCCAGTCGCAAGATAGCATTGAATTCGATGCATTCGCTTCTCGTTTTGAAAGTGCTACTCTTCCCGATGACTTGCCTGATCCATTCGGAGGTTTGTGATCTTCAGTTCGGGTTTACTTCCGAATGTTGCTTTTCTGCATGTGACATGCTGTAAATCGCTAAAAAAAAAATTGTTCTGCAGATTCAAGTGCATTCGGTGAGAGTTTGATGTCGATGGATGCAGGAACTCTAGGGTTCGAAAACACGGATTCATCTAGTGATGCTTTCTTGTCCATGACGGAACCTCCGCCTGTTCCCAAAACTACCCCACTCCATGGTCCCAATGAAAACTCGTAAGATGCCTTGTTATGCGTGTTTTTTTCAGAATTTTATTTTTCAGTCGTTAACCTCTTTCGTTGTATAGTCTCCACAGCTTTCAGACGCTTGCTACCAGATATGAAGCTGAACGAGGGCCATCTCCAATCATACCCATGTCCTTACCAGGGCTTAGAATGGCCGCCGCAGATCTGGATTCGCCTGAATCGGTTGGTCGCGTACAGGTGTTCGAAAATCCCTTTCTCGCCGGCGTAACTCCAGCGGATGGAGGTTGGGATTTTCTTTCATTTCCGGAAGAGTCTCTTGACTTGATTTTGTTTCTCGTGTTGGTTCTTCTCTGCAGAAAACGGCATGAAAGGTGATGATACAGCGGCTTCTACTCCATTATTCGAGCTGGATCAAACAGAAACCTTGTTACCCTTCCCGCGCACTACCTGGGAAGAAGGAGTTGATTTTGTATCATGGGAAATGCAAATGCGTCATCCACTAAAAAAAAAGCTTACTGGCCAACGCTTTTGGAAGAAGATATTCGTTAAACTTACGCATAGTGGCAACATACAAGTTTTCACGGACGCGAATGACAAAGAGCCGATTCAAGAGTTGCCCTTGCAACCATCGTATTGTGTATCAGAAATAGGTAAACATTCATTGCTGTGTGTTAATTTTTTTCGGTATCTGATTGTATGTTATACCTTATTTTATGTCAGCCGCGCAACAGTTCGATCAGTTTGGCAAGATATTCACGCTGAAAGTGCAGTATGTGTATTATAAAGAACGTCCGGGTGTCAGGCCGGGCCAAATCTCAAAAGCTGAACGCTTAACTTCGCGTTTATCCCAATTCGCGTCTTATGCTATTGCCGGTGACTTGGCGGGGGTTAAGGAATTTGGTTCAGACATCAAGAAACTAGGTGTTCCAATAGAACATACACCTCAAGTATGTATTCAACAAGCTTCCTCTGCGAATATCTCTCCAATAATTAAAAGCGTTTTATTTTTGTTTCAATTTTAGGTTTCTGAGCTAATGAAACTGGGCTCGCATTCGTATGAAGACCTCAAAATGTTCTCGCACCTCGTTGAAGAGCAACTTTTCAAGCTCACGCTTCATCGAGACAGAAGCTTGACGTATAAGCAAGAAGAAATCCAGATCACGGTGGTGGACGAGATTTTCATTGAACAGGAGCTTATGGGACATGTTACCTGCAATATTGCACGTGTTCGCGTTTTCTTCCTTGCTTTTTTGTCGGGTAGGATTTTTTTTCAACTTCTCAAGTGCATCGTGATGCGTGAAGCTGTTTTTATTCTAAAGGAATGCCTGAAATTGAGTTGGGACTGAACGACTTGGATAGACAAGGAAAAGAAGTCGTCGGCCGACATGACATTTTGCCAGTTGTGACTGAAGAATGGATTCGCCTCGAAGATGTCGATTTTCACTCGTGTGTTCAGCAAGAAGCTTTTTATCAAACGAAAATTCTCAAGTAAGATTCACTTCAGCAAATTATTTATGAATACCTGTTTGATCGTGATGCATACTCCCATTTGATTGCGACCAGTTATTTTTATCAGCGTAATTCTCGCCGGTAGGTTCATCCCGCCCGATGCAACTTACATCGAATTACTAAGATTTAGAGTGCGTCCGCCGAAGAACCGAGAATTGCCACTACAGGTTAAGACTGTCATAAACATCAGTGGTAAAAAGGTACGGTAAACCTTGCGTGAACTGCCGAGCGCTTTTGGTGATCGTTTTGGGTTTATAGGTGGAAATTCGTGCAGATGTACTAGTTCCGGGATCATCGGGACGGAAAATGGGTCCAGTGCCTTGCGAAGATGTTGCCATTAGGTTCCCCATACCCGAATGTTGGATATACATGTTCCGTACCGAGAAACATTTTCGTTACGGATCTGTCAAATCCGCACATCGTCGGTAAGTAAGCTTCAAGTATTTTTTTTTTCACCCTACCCATGAATGCTAACTTTTTGGAAGCCATTTTTTGGAGAAAGTGTTGGTTCCATCGAAATATAACCGTGTTTCGGGACACTTTGCCTAGCTCATGGTGCAAATTTCGCATTTCGTGTGAAGGCTCCCGTGTAGTTGAAATCGTTGGACCTCTTCCTCTGAAAACCACCTTGATTGTAGTCCATGCCGTGTTGCACAAGTTAATCTGATGTATTGGTAAAAATTCGCATTTCAAGTCTTCCTTGAAGTTTACCAAGCGTAGGTCGAACCGCCTAAAAATTGTCCAGCGCTGGTGTTTGTTGGGTGTTTTGATCAAGTCGATCCGTCGACGCTTCCCCCACGTATCCAACAAATTCAAAGATGTTCAACTCCTGAAGGCGTGTAATTAGCCTTGCCTCTTTTCCATTTTGTCAACAGGCATGGTAAGGTGAAGGGATTGGAGAGATTCCTCGGTACAGTTGAGACTATGGAACAAGCAATGATGGAAGTCTCGTCTGGTCAAGCGAAGTATGAGCATCACCACAAAGCTATTGTCTGGCGAATGAGCCGTTTACCCAAAGAAGGTCAAGGTGAGGATTTCGAATTCGCAGACGTGTCATGATACTTCTCACGATCGTGCATGAGAAAGACTCGTTATGAACCGGGAAGAATTCCTAATTTTCGGTGACCTAAATCCATCGAGGCTGAAGTTCGCTTCGTGGAATATGGCATTGATCAACTCGTGATAAACGAATGACCGTTCCTCAAAGAATGTTGGAATTAATACGAAATTTTCCGCTCAGAGTCATGGATTGTGATCTTATTCCTAGGTGCGTATACAACCCATACGTTCATCTGCCGTCTCACCTTAACTACTTACGACTCCTTACCCGAGTCTATGGAGAAATACTGCTTCGTGGAGTTCACCATGCCAGCAACAACAGTGTCTCATTGCGTCGCACGTTCTGTGTCTTGCAATCTTGATGAACCACCGGAGAAATACGTAAAATATCTGGCTCGACATGAGTATAAAGTGGCCATGGAGTTCACGCAAGGTCAAGAGATCGCTTCTTATTTGGCCGCAACGAGTGTTCCCACGAACACACGACCGATTTCACCGGCGTTGTCCGCTGCCAATAGCGACACAAAAGCTGGTGACGATTCCTCCGACTCCGAATAATTGATTCACTTCATATCGGAATACCTCAACGATCCGTTTTGGAAAAGAAACTCACGGTTGAGCTGACCATGTTGATGAATCCCGTAGGATTACAATACTGTAAATCCAAATCAGATTGTTTTATCATTTTCGTTGAATCTGCGGAACAATTGAAGCGCTCAACAAAGCTTGTTCGGCCTTTGAACGCGTAGTTTAAACGGATATCGTGCTAGTCATTCCTTCGATTTGAGCATTTTCTCGGGAATAAGTGCAATATTCTTCGTAGCTTGTGAAGTGAAATATCGAAAGCTTGAATTCGCCACCTCAGACGGTGGCAAGGTTCAGAAACGAGTGAGATTCTTGATGTTTTTCTCTTTCGCGAGCCCTCGTTTTTTTTCTAGTTTCGACGGATTCTGGGAATAGCATGTGCAGTACAGTATTCGCGAATTTTTTTCTGACGCTGTAAGAATCTCCACTTGTTACGAAGTCATACTTCCACGCAGTGTTTCAAGCCAAGTATAGATGGAGTGTGTGATCTTCGACGAACCGACAAGGATCTCGTAAATTTATTCAAATCAGTAACAGTGCGATTTTGATCTCTCCTAGAAAGCTGGTAATCGTGATGTGATGCAGAAATAATCAGGATCAATCGTTGAGAGAAAGTGTTTTTACATTTGTGCCATGTTCTTGTCGGTACGACTTTTTTTTTTGAGCGTGGCGGATCTAATGACCAAGCGCTGCCATGCTGTCTTTCGCGTAATAGCGATATTCGACATATTGATGGTCGACAAATATCGCTTATTGGATGCAATAGTCATTCGTGATTTTCGGTTATGCAATAAGAACATAGCGCTTCGTTGCCTCGTTATTTCGCTTTAGCATTTTATTCGGTGACCATCCTGTGTCTTATAGTGGTGTCAGTGATGGAGCATTATCGGTGTTGACATTTTGTTTATGGAATAAATCTTTCGTTGCCAGACTTCGTTTTCATTTGAAAATGACACCTCTCCGCGGCCTGTTGCTGTGCTCGTCTGTACAGTATTTTATCATCAGCTGCAGTGATGGTTGTAAAGAAAAACGCTGGGAGAAATGTTTCACAGTATTATGGCTAACCGCATGGTGATCTCCGACCAGGGGAGGTCAACGGAAATGATAGGGATTTAATTAAGCATCCTTGTGAAGTCCCTCAAAAAATTATCACTGCAGTATTTTTTTTCTAATACGAAATATTACCTGAAACTGGCCTGCGAAACTCACGCAACAATGTTACTGAATTATTGTTGCGGAGATGGAAATTTCCATCCTATGAGTTGTGAAAATGGTTTCATGAGCCTGAATAATCCTAATTCTCAATTCATATTCCAATTTTTTCCTAAATTCAAATAATATTGTATGAATCATCCAATTATGCACCGTAGTACTGGGAGAGGGACAAGAATGATGAGCATTTTTTCCAGATACAAAAGTGACATATATGAAAGTAATGTACTAATTGGTTAACTACTCTTGCTGTATATGTCACTTTTTTCCTACCTGAAGACATGCATGACATTTCCCCATTTACCTGGATGTAGACCATAAGATTTAGCCGTTATAGAAGGAACACTTCAGGTAATCCACCTTGAAGAATTGCTGTATTTGAATCAGATTTTACCAACACTTGAAAAAATTCGAGAAAACGCTAGGGTGTCAACTAATGTCACATTCAATCCATTCGCTTGCTGCTTTCAGCAATGCCTTGAACGATTATTTTTATGTTTTACTTTATGTTAATGCGGGTAGAATAAATGTATTTGTAAAAGGAAAAAATGTACATCGAAGATCTATAAATGAACAAGGGTAATTAAATCTTGAATCAAAGGAAACAGCTGCTGTATTAGCCTTCGTTTGAGGTACTTCAGACTAATTAAACAGTACCCTGCTGCTTTCTTGTCAGTAAATATGCTTGAAAATTGGGATGCGTCGTAAGCAATACAGCTCCCCCATTTCAATTTGCATTGGGATCGCTGGTAAGTTTTATACTGTAGTTTCTTTTAAATTATTCTTCAATCAATACGCAATTCTGTAATGAATATTTAAATTTATGAAAACCTATCGCCTCCGTAAAATACCTACCATTAACAGACATGCAGCATATTACTGGCGATCAAAATTAATTGAAGTCTTCCCGTGCAACTTATTCGAACTGGTTTTTGGTTAATTCTACAGCAAAAATACAGCTACCGTATTTTTTTTAGAAGATGATATGAACACACAGCTTTCTTATTTCGAAGCCACGATATGAATGTATTATTCGCGATGCATCAGCATTTTTCGAGTAGTACAGTATTAGCAAAGCTCAAGTCCTTCGAAATCGTCGACGTCCAAGTCCAATAGAGCGTCGATCGGTTCATCCAGGGATTCGCTTCGCTCGGCGTCTGATTTTTCTGCTATCATCGTGCGTCGTCGTCGTGACAGTATCTCTATTCACATCTCGCCTATTTTTTTGGTGTTGGGTCCACTTCTCAGAAGGCTGATATGGTCCCGACTCGCTCTCTTCGTCCACATAGTAAACATCTTTCTGCAATCACGGTATAAACAAATTTAAAGCTTCAAATTCTTTATCTTCAAATTCAAGAGCTAATGAGTGAAACAATTGTTACTTCACAGCACCCGAGCTGTGGAGATTTCGCAGCAAAAATCGCTTGGTCGAGGTGGAACTCACCCTGTTTCTGGCAGCCGCAAGTCCGAAGCAGCACAATAGAAATAACAACAGCGACACTACAGGATGGCCCATCTATTGCCCACCTGCTGATGATTCATAACGAAGAAAAAAGAAACCGGAGAAATTGGGTGATGAAGAAGTCGAATGAAAAGTCCGACGGAGACGCGCACTTGAGTGTTGATGGTCATGAATCTATTCGGCAGTTAATCTTTTGTTCCTGTGTACGATTGCTTATAGATAGAGTAATTCAACTTCCGACCGTTCTTAAAAGGACAGCGAGTTTTCAGGACAACAATGACCCGGAGTACATTTGACAGCGAACCCCTCATCAAATTTTATACTCCCAAAAAATGTTTTCCTCCGCAAAACAGCAATTCGTCTTATTGATACCTCCGATAGCCCTCTGTCAAAAGATAACACTCCTCGGCAGACAAAGAACATTTTCAAGGGAAATGAACCCCGCCTAGTGGCCCTCGAAACCCTCGTCGACACTTCCTGGGGTCACATTTCCTGTCAAACGTGACCTTGGCGTTGAAATTAAAAGTTAGCGGACATACCTGGAACAAAAGCTATTCACCAACTCCACCCCTTCCAAATTTACCGGAGTATTTAAACCCGGCGAACTTCCGAATTTGGCAATCAGTCACTTGCACGCTTGCTAACAGACGTTCTCGAATTCACTGCATTTTTCGGCTGCGGACTTCAAATCGCGAAAATGGCAAGTTTCAAAGTGATGCTGACATTTTTGCTCTTGGCGAGCCTGATTCCTTTCTCGGTGCAAGAAAAGGTGAGCATTGGCCCTCGCGAATTATTTCGTCGGTTATGTTTCATTTCAAATAAAAAATATACGACTGTCGAGTAAATTGAAACATAGCTCATGTTTTCCGAAGTTCATCCAATGAATCAGGATATACTCGACAAAAAAATGAACTAACCGAACGATGTTTCAGTATGAAATAAAGTGGAAACGAGGGATATTTTAACTTATACGACTCGATCAATAATTCAGGAAAATAAATTCCTCAAGCCAGTTACAGTATTAATTAGATTATTAGGCAGTCAAAATTAGTCGAAGTCCTCTCGGAACAACTTATTGTCCTGGTTTTTAGTTAATGCAACAGAAAAATATTTTTTCTCCCCTTGAAATTGGGCGTGCCAAAAATTCTAAATCACAGAAAATCTACAGAAACGGAATTTAGGTCAAGTCCTTTCTCTTTTCCCTCTAATAAAATGCAAGTGTATCCTAATGAAAGTATCAAAACTTTATTTTCAATTCTGATCGAGCAAATTTTGAACATCTCGGAACTCTTTTCCGCAGTAAATCAGCAGGCTTTCTCCGTAAGTTCAACTCCATACACCATAATTTAACGGTTCATACAGTTCTTTCTACAGAACGCCTTCGAATATTTGGCATGCGCATGCAGTCCGGTGATTGCATTATTTAACTATTGCGAAGGTTCGCCTATAACCCAATTAATTGTTTAATTCTGTTTTCACGCGATAGACGGAAAAAGCGGAAGAGCTGAAATCAAAGGCGACGGAAAACATTGAGAAGAAGGGGATGGAGACTAAAGGAAAGCTCGACGAAGTTGCACAGAAAGGCAAAAATCTGGGCGAGGATGTGAAGGAAAAACTGCGGAACAAGAGATCCAGCGGTTACGACGCACCATCAGCTCCGATTTACACCCCAGCACCCCAGCCATCATACAATGCTCCTGAGCCGCAATACAACGCCCCCACTCAATCAAACTTTATCCCAACCCAGTCATACAGTGCACCAGTTCAAACTTACGAGGCTCCGCAGCAGCAGTCTTACCAAGCGCCAGTTCAAACTTACGAGGCTCCGCAGCAGCAGTCTTACCAAGCGCCGGTTCAAACCTACCAGGCTCCGCAGCAGTCCTACCAAGCGCCGGTTCAAACCTACCAGGCCCCGCAGCAGTCCTATCGAACGCCAGTACGCCACCGCCGCAGTTCCGGCTACGGAGCCGCCCCTGCACCGATCATCCGAAGAGTGCCAGTGTACACGAAACGAGTCGTGCAACAACCCGTCACTGTATACAAGCCCGTCGTTCTGCAAAGGCCAGTCGTGGTGCAGAAGTCCTTCGTCGTCCAGAGGCCCGTGGTGATCCATAAGCCCGTCGTTGAGCAACAATCCTATGTTGTGCAGAGACCAGTTACGATCCACAAGCCCGTGGTCGTCACTGACGTTTCTTACCGCCAGGAAGTGTCCTATGCCCCCGCGCCGAGACCTTATGGGTACTAATCCTTGCATTTTCAAAACTTTCTTGAGGAAAAAATAAGCTGGGAGGAATTCAACATCGTATGAAAATGTCTCGGGAGTGACCTGTCCCTTGAAAAAATACCATGTCTTTCATTTCACTTTCGATGGAATAAACTTGACCTTGGATTTTCCTCACAATTTCGTTTCCATTTCTTTCCCACCTAATTTTGTCAGCTGTTGTGCGTAACGACATTCAAGTCAAACATGAAATTGAGGGGGAGGGGGAAACCTTTCAAACTGAGCACACCTTTTCGGGAAGACGGGAACAGGTTTTTCCAAGTAAGAATGTTTGACTATGTGCTTTCTTTAAACTCTTTTCCATCTGAATCAAGTTCATTTATTGCTTGCACATATACAGGCGATATATTCTGGAAATATCCCGGTTACACAGGTGCAAAGACTTCACAGGACGGTGAATCTTGCACCTGAACGACGATGAGGCTGTTTTCAGAAAATATTACACGGATATTGTACTGTCGAAGTGTACATTTTTTAAAATTAGGCATGCAGGAAATCGCTGCATTTTAAAAACGTTAAAAGGAATCAACCACTGGAAACTAAATACAGGTGGAGTTTTTTTCCTGATTTTAAAAATCCTTGGAATCATTTCGCGAAGAAAAGGGAGACGTTTTAAAGCAACAAAACCGGCAGTGAAATTGATCACTCATTCAAACCAAAACACTATGTATTTAAATCCCATAAATTAATTTTCGGTTTTCGTAACTTCTGAAGATTAATTTCGTACATTATCACTTGATTTCTACTGGAAGTGAAAAGTGCCAAGAAATGTCCATATTAGTAATCTTTGCGAAGTTTAAATTCTCGAGTTCATACTTCAACATAAATATGAGACCTCATTCTCAGCATTCAATGAAATGAAAAATTGCATGGCAAATAGAAAGTACTGTATCTTTTCAATATATCGAATAAAAAGTATATCTTTTTTCGATTGCTATTCTCTTTGTCCTTCAGAGCCTCGAAATCTGACACAGATTCTGCATCTTCGATTAAATTTCGAAATCGAACCTGTTTAAAATGCCGTCCAAGCACAAAATAATTCGAGGTTTTTCAGTTTTGCACACTTTCGCACGTCACCGATATCCTTCCTGAAATCACGTGTTCGCACACCTAGGAAAGTTCTGTTGATGCGTGTGAGATGCGGACGCGGAATGAGAATTTGCCGGACGTGACTTACTTTTCGACCCGGAATCCAGATTCAGGAAAAAAAATCAAGACAGGTTTTGATGTTGAAAATAGGAAAATATTCTGTTTTCGTAGTCGCATTGAATATCAATGAAGCGTCTTCATGAAATAAAAAAAAGAAGCGCGCGATCAGTCAGTCCCATATCCGCGGTCATTGTCGAGAAAAATCAGCAAGTTCCCGTTGTTTTCACCATCCGTAGCTCGGCTGCTGTGGAGCAGGTCTGATGATCTTCTTATGAACGGGTTTGTAGCTCACAACCCGCTGCAACTTTATGACTGGCTTGTGCTTAACGACACGTTTCAACGCAATGACGGGCTTGTGGTGGACAACGGGCTCGTAGGAAGTCACATGCTGGACCACAACCTTGCTCTTGCGCTTGTGCCCGATACCCTTCTTCGAACGACCATAACCTCCGTGGGAACGAACGTAGATCGGCTGGTGAGACACTGCGTGGCCGGAGTCCCACCCAGATCCGGATGATGATGATGATTGAATGCCAGAATTGTAGCCTGCTGATCGGCGGATTCGAACGGAACCCGACTCTTTCTCTTCCTCGGCTTCTTCGTCTTCTGTTTCTTCGGCGTCCATGTCGTCGGAACGGGGTACGGTTTCTTCGTCCATTTCATCGCCCTTGGTCGTAACGGACATCGATGGATCCTCCTCTTCTTTCATCATCGAGTCTTCTGCCGGTATTTTCATTTCTGCGGCAGCTTCCGTCGTCTCCTGCAAAATGGACAAGTGTCCTTTATTTTACACTCGAGCAAATGGCCACACCCTACAGGCATATTTCGGAAATAAAACCTTCCAGCAGACCGAGATTTTGCAGAGAAAAATGCGGCCTATGCATAAATGTTTAGTGCGAAATCGGATTTGGTCTGAAATTTCTCTCGCATATTTTCGAAGTATAGTATGTAATGTACAATATAACTTAAGCCACTTCATCTATTCTCCATTTCTTTGCATTTTACTCAGTATTTTTAGGTAATCAGGTTAGGTATGAACATTAATTTTACTTACTGCATAATAGTTCTCAATTGTATCGATGAACCAACGTGATACAGCATTTGATTATCCGGGCAAAGAAACCTCGGTTAATAATTGTCCGGAAAATGGAGAACTTCAATGGATTTTAAACTTGGAGAAACCGATTATTACAGCTTTAAAATCGGTATGAAGAAACCTGATACATTATCTCGAATGTTCAGACCATATTTCCTTTCTTGTCTATGTACACGAATAAGAATAATAAATTATAGGCCGTGCGCAGGATTTTGCGCAGTTTATTGAGGTGTTGTATGCAGCAGTCGAATAAATATGGTGTATAAATGTCCAGCTAGCTGATTTTTCGCATACAGTATTTTTCTTTGAATCAATTTTACTCCATGATGATTGTTTAAAAAAAATCAAACTGAAAAAAAAAAACTGTCGAAAGAATGCCTCGCCTCTGCTGGGAATGCTTGAGCCGTGAGTGCAAAACAGCCGATCAGCAAAAACGCGAGAACCTTCCACTGCTCCATCTTGACGCGATGAGATTACGCACAAAATATTTTTTTTCTTGATTCAAGACTTTTTTTCGGATGATTCTCAATGCCCGACGCAAGTGCTTCTGTGCTGACAGTTCGGCGAGCCGAGAGCTTAAATACTATCCCAGCAGCAGTCGGACCAAAACAACGATGATCGCATATCTCAGAGACAAACAATCTTTCGCGCAGCAGTATCTTGCCGTATTACCCAGTGTCAATGACACTTCACTGCCTCGAAATTTTCCCGGTTCAAGACTGCGGATGGTACGTTTCCGTGGACGCAGAATAACACGCCTGCAATTGTCGATCTACGAATCCCGTCAGGACTTCGCGATCGTTGCACTCCGAGTTTACGGTACAAGGCTCAACGAACTCAATAACCCAATTATCCAGCCAACAGAGGTCCACCCCTCGTAAAAACACCTGCAAAAATTTCTCACATGCGTATTCGTCCTTCGACGATGCTTACTGCTGTATACAGGTCTAGAGAATAAATGCCACGCATTAGCAATTTCCGGGAGAAATTTCTGTTGAAAATGAGGGAAAACTGGCAGCTGAAAAGAAGACCAGAGAAAATGGCGTGGGAGAAAATGTACAAGGGAAATCGATTCATAAGTAAGGAAAGAAATCGACAGCATAGAATACCTCCGGCCGAAATTGTCGAGGAATTGCGATTCGGAGGACGGAGTCCGCATGATTTCAGAGAAGAATTATAAACCAGAGAAAAAAGCCTTTACTGTTTACGAATGCGTCGAAGACATTTTAGAAGGTCAAAAACATCATGTTCGATTGCATTTTAAGATTCCATCGATTATATGACCCATTTTGTATGTTTCGCAATTCAAATACTACGTGTAAAAGTATAACTATAACTTGTCTGTGAATTCAAGAGTAACTATCTTCGAATTTCTTCAGAATCATCGCAATTCGTCATATCTCATCTACACGAAGTTTCAAGTTGCCATCTCCGGCAACTTACTAGCGTTGCGTTGCGGAACTGAAAAAGATTCCATGAAATGATCAAAATTTGTTTCTTCGTAGAAATCCTGGGCATCGTCCGAAGAGGTTACGATTTGGTGCCATGAATAAAACGTGGCCTGGTTACTAAGGGGCAAGTCATTCGTTTTAAACTTTTCAGTTCAGTCTGTACTGAAAATACATTACGATTAAGCCAGTGATTTTCCCTGTACCGTAGGAGTTCACCTTAAAACAAATCCCAGACCTGAAATGCATTCGACTGAGTTGATTCGTGCTGTTGAATGAATGAAAACGTCGAACTTCATTTCAGCAGTATATTATTCTCGGAACAAATTGAATCCCGATCAACATAAAATACAAAGCGCAGAAAAATGAAAGAAATAAAACCATCCACGAACACATTTTCCATCCCGCCGAAACTTCGTGGTCGATTCAGTTGCCATTCGCACAATGGTTATTGGTAGGTACCGTCATTATCCATGGTGGAATGACGTTACGTTGCCTCCAGCAGGAAAAATTGTCGCACGCAGAATTTTTACAATCTCACTCTTGTTCGAAGTGTTATCTTTGAATAAACTACGGAAAGAGAAAGGAGGAACATCTCCATAATCCGTAAAATTCGGCGTTCTGGTGAGGTCACCGTAATCCTCTTCAACCTATTACGAGTTCAATAAGTGATCGAATTCCACTTTGAGAGCAACATATATTACTCACGGATATTATTTCCGGATAAGATACCACCAAATTCAATGCAGTGCTGAGCAAAATAGCGCCAACAAGGTTCCGCATGATCTCAGGTGACTTTCTCAGCTCACGGACAGAGACACACTGGAGGGCGAGGAACAAAAATTCCAGAATTCATGAGACCAACCCAAAACCCCCGGGGATTTCCCGAGGCTTTCACTTTAGACCCTCGGAAAGAAAAAGACGAAACGGACTTGAGATGCATGCACAGGTTTTATTAACTGACAGCACGAGGGAAACTCGCAAAAGAATACAAATCCATGCCCAAAGTAGTAGTCCGAAGATCGATTAAAATGTTCGAATAGAAAAAAACTGTTTCCTCGGGACATCAGCGATTCAAGCGGCACGAGAAATCTGATCGTCTCCGGCGATTTCTCCGACTTCTTCCCCGGCAGCTCGGTGGAAAATGTTTCTCAGCCTGGCGAACACTGCATTGGCTTGGGATTCGATGTAGTCGATGCCACTGGTGATCAACTGAGCAGCATTTCCAGGTGTGATGTTCGAAGTCTCTTTCATGACACGATTCGTGGCATCAACAATCGCTTGAGAGCCGCTTTGCATTTGCGCGGTCACAGCTTTCGCCTACAGAGAAATAATTAAAACCATTACAAGACTCGACTAGAGTTCGCTGGTTCACGCACCAGATCAGTAATATGCAGGTAATCAGCAGTGTTCACAGTCTTGACGTAGAGACGATGCCTGATCTTGTCTGTTAGAGCGGCAGCATGAACCAGTGGAACCAAAGCCGGATCAACCTTCTCTTCAAGTTCACGCGTGGGCACTGAAATTAATAGTTTTATGAATGCCATGCCATTAAAGAAATATAATTGGTCATTTACGCTTCTCGTCCTTCTCTTGCGGCGGGATCAATTTATCAACGTATGTGTCGACCAGGTTGAGCATTGAGTCGAGATTCTGCAAAGCGACTTGAGCATACTTGGTCTTGACAGCTTGAATCAATTTGACTTGGCTGTAGTCCGCAACTTCGCCAGCCTTATTCTTGCCATAGGATGTCATTTGCTTTGCCATGTTAACAGGCGCACTGACAGTTCCACTGATGACGGCCTTGGCGTCAGCAATAATCTATATATAAGAGAGTCATACTACTCGGCTCATTGAAAATAATTAGCATATACCGAATACCTGCTCGGGCTCTTTCTTCACAAGAGGAAGCCTAGCTTCGATGACATCCAGGCCTTTACAGGCGATCGAATCCACGAAGCCAATCGGACGCTGAAATTTCATCGCAACCGGCGAGACCGTTGCTACAGCATACTTGGCTGAAGCCTCGGCAGCATTCAACGTAGATCCCACCAGTGGAACCGGAGATTGCTGTGGTATAAGTAAGTCATGAAGACAAAATAAATACTCAACTAATGTTGACCATCACCTTAACCCTCTCGTAGCCACGTTGAACAGAACCAAATACGGCAGCGACAACCGGCAGCTGACCGACACGTGACATAGATTGGAAAATAGGCTGTGCGACTTCGACGCTCATATTGCGATTTTTTATTAGCTTTTCGGAAATGACAAATTTATTCGCTGAAGTAGGATGGACTGAGGTTGACTCGAATACGCTTGCTAAAATCCTGGAGGGGAAAGAAGAACAAAATATTGAGAACATTTCCACCTTTACCCGAGTTCAGAATATAATCCCCATAGACCAACTGAACACAAAACCCTTCATCTTCAAAACTGGGATGAAGCGCTAAGAACAGGGTAAATCGAATATTGAAATATCAACAAGTCATGATTACTCAACAAGACAAAGAAACCGGCAGAACATTAACTACACCTAAATAAATTGCGATCGTCCTTCACACAATAGCCGAAAAGTTTATCCAGATAACACTGGACTAAGAATTTAGTACATCACGATTCAATAAGATTTACAGGACTTAACCGTGCATCAGAATAAGAAACTACGACAGAATTGAAGTGAACGCAAGCGTATCACATTGGTTTATCAACACATAGAAAGCTAAACAAATAAGGGTTCAACGCTCGATCGCCACAATCGTTCCGGACGACAGGAACACAGTAATAATATTGAATGAAGTCCGCAGATTTACAAATGTTCCACTGAAACGATAAACACTGTGCAAATAATTCTTACGACAATTACACAAGTCCAATTAAGCTATGAAATTCAGAGCTAATACACACTTCAGAAGAGGATATAACCAAGTGAATGACCCTCATACCATGTAGGAGGCTATTTATACGGATCGCGATACCCGGAGAGACAGCTTTTTCAGGTTACGGGGCAAGTTCATAATCCAGATTGCGTCAGCTAAGCCGGCCGCGTGCAGACACAATGCATCACGAGAGAGACGCCAAGCTCTTGGCTTCCAGTACGATCGGACCTTCCCCTCTGTGTCTCATACGCGATAAACCTGTAAACGTGCTGCGGCGTCATTCACGACACCCACTTCAAAATGACCCGTGCGCCAAATGCACACCGCTGTGATTCACATTTCAACTTTTCGGGTGTTGAAAATGAAGGGAAACTCTTGCTACGAATAAATGCACACACGTCGGGGGGATTTTCTCTGATGCCGCATCCGTCAGCCCCTATGGCAGAAATTATAACTCACGCGTTCATGGGCCATCATTATAATTCAGGACGACTCGGCTTAAGCTGAATGGAAAAGGTGCAGTTAATTCAAAAATTCGAAGGATTCTGTTGCACTTTTATGAAGGATACTTCGAATTCGAAGGTTTCGAGGACACATTCATTGGGAAATGGCACCTCTTGCAACACTTCCACGACGCAAAACAGGAAATACTGTAGAATAAAACGGTGCCTTCAAACAATAAGCACGAGTTTTTCGGCAGATTTACGAAGAGAGGAGGGTCCATTCACATCCTGACGTATGTAAGTTGTACGTAACCCAGATGAGAATTTTCAAGAATTAATTCCCTGAGCTGGAATTTCCGATTGAAGTTTTCGATTTAAAGAAAACATTATATTCTTTCCCCGCACTAAGTAAATTGTGCGGAAAATAATTTAAATTTCCAACTCCCAATAGCCGTCATTGAAGTCACTTTTTGACCTGCAACCCGGAACCAGTTCTCGGTTTGATTCTTCGTGCACCGAACACTAGCTTGGTCGTATGTTCCATGAAGGGCACCACTATGGATTGGATTCGACTTCGTATTCCAAGTCGGGAAAGGAAAATGCTTTTCTGAAGCGTTCTTTTGACGTCAGCAGAAAAATAGGACACCCGATACCTCACTCGCATGCCAGCGATCGGAGTACACACAGCTCGTCTGGCGACAGGTTCGACGTGTGTAGCAAAGTCCAGGCTTCCTCCAGTACGTGGGGAAAAAAACAGGGTGCAACCGGTACGTTGCTGAGGGAGGGTGCATAGAGGCAGCTGTTATCTTGGAAACGAGTGGAAAATTCCGTGAAACCGCTAGAAATGCTGGGAATCTCCGGGGCGATAAGAAAGGTCTGTCAGGGTAGGGTGCAGACTCCAAGTTCAAGAAAAGAACAATGTCCAATATACTAGTGGGGGAGGAACCCGGGGCCTGAGCCTCGTCATGGGAAGAACTTTTCGCTTCTTCTCCTCCAAGATCAAAATGGTCGCCATATAGTTGGCTGAATCGACGCAAAAATTCTTCCCGAAGTGCATTCACGCTTCGTGGATATCCCTTCACAAGATACGACGAAAAGCAAAACGCTTATGCCAACCTCTGCATAACAAAATATGATCGGTTAAAAGATAAAAGCTGAGTGTTTCCTGGGTTCAAAATTATATCGAATTTTTAGCATCTTCGTATTACTGGGGGGCATTGATGCTTAATTGCACTTCCAATTTACTGCGTTCATTTGGGGGATAATTTAGTTCCTTTTCAATTCCGTAATCTCATGAGAGACGAAGTGGCAATATTCTATGAATGACTGTTACGAATGGACGATGACCCGGTTGAAATAATGTAAAATTTAAAAATTTCCCCGCGAAATTTTTAGTAAAATGAGTTTTCGCGTTTTCGTTAACGCGTTGACAAATGTTTTTTCTGCTTCCTCGCCAGAATGCTAATAGAGCACGCTTCTGAAAATTATACTTAGAAGGCTAAATTTTCAGTCATGAGGATTTTCTGTTCGCCGAAAGATGATATCGAGCCTTGCTGGATGGTGCCACGTCGATGTGGGCTTAGATTTTGCACAGATCACCACCTCGTCTGCGACATTCGTATCCAAGACAGCTGCTCCGCGTAGGTTCAACAGACAGTACAAAGATCAGTAATTTTATTCATAGATGACGCTCGTACAAAAAATAAAACACCGAGTCCGACGCTGGTGCACGAGCTGTACGGTCTTGGAAAGACGTAAATTCCGGGATTATGTCACTTTGGACTGTATGCGTAGAAGATGATTCGTGCGGGAATCTACCTCATTTTAACTTTTCAGAGAATCTCTACTAAAAGCGAACACATTAACAAGAAAATGGCTGCTGCGCCATCATTTCTATAGCATCAGATATAAACGAGTACCTAGCTGACTGTATTTCTTATATGCCTTTCGGAGTACTGTAAAATTGCAATAGTTTTTGCAGACATTGAATTTTGTTACGGAGATAGAAGAAACACGAACTTGACCTAACTGAAAAAGTTTAATTCAACATTCTTAATATGGAGGTCCATTAAGATCGAGACGTCGCAGTAAAAAAATGTGGTGGGATTATTTCCGATCGTATTTTTACAATAAGATGTATTCGAGGGAATTTATAAGTCTTCCAATTTTTTCATTGGATGATGAGCTGGAGTTCCAAAAACATTTGGAATATTTTTCGCTATGTCTTGTAGTTCGTCATTTACACTAATAAGCCATCATTTACGGCTTACTCATTTAAAATCACAGACTTAAAATATGAGATTCGTTCTATCTTAATACAGTAATTTGCTATAATCGGGAATAAATGCACCCTGGAAAGGGGAACAATGGTATACTGGCTCCAAAACTTAAGATTTGATCAGTCCCAAAATTCATCTACAACTGTTAATTGAACAGGCTGAATACATCGCAACTGTACAGAACAGCTTATATTTTGGACATGGAAACTTGCTACCGTTAATCTACGCGCGTGGGATTTCTTCATCTATGAACCACAATAACGTGCAAGAATGTTGAACCCATCACTGATTCAGGCCTGAATCGTTTCCCCTCCCTTCCCTGGTACCTTGACCTGAACCTCGTGATTTTTTGAAATTTTAAAGAATTGAGGAATAGTCGAAGATCTTGATTTCGTTGCGTGATGTCGTATTTTTTTGAATATTCGATTCCTGAAATAAACCGACAGCTTTATGAAACTTAATTTTCAAAATATAAAGGATTTCCGAAGATTTGCAAACTTTATACAGTACTTGCAAGTCTGAAGACTTTCAAGAACTCCCCAGGATGTGAATTACCTAGAAGTACTGTACCTGCAAATTAATGAAAATTTGATTTGTATTTCGAATCTCGTTGAATTTACTGGATTATATCAATAAGCATACTTGTATGTGTCAAACGAGGTACGTCTGTAATTCAATTTACAGTACTGTTCGCTGTTCCAACTTCCAACATACATTACATCAATCATAAATTAACGAAAGTTACTACGATGCAAATGCTGATGAAATGATGTATTCGAAGCGGAATCAATGAACATCGTTGGTTCGGTCATGTTTACTAAATCAGTTGCATGATACAGACTGATGATTAAAAAAAAAGGATATTACCTTCCAGTATTCAATATGATAGCAGTATTTTGTCGATAAGGTGTCCTCCACAATCGTATTTATGTGTTACGCAGCTTCAGAAAATTGTTCATTCATAATATAAAACCGCGATTTTTCTTGCGCGTCATTTCACGCTTTGAAGAAAACGCATGTAGATTTAGTTCAAATCTCGCGCATTATTGTCACCCATATTTGTGAAATTGTGGGCTGGTTTCAGCAAATGATTGGAGCAATTGAAAGAAGCGATCGGCATTTTTCCCGCAGAAGGAGTAAAGCTTTAAATATTAGAAATTGTATCACAGATGCAAAGAGGCACCATTCCCATTTTAATTAAAACTTAGGCATTATGCATTAAGGGGATACATCTGAAATTAATCATTTATATTTCAGCATGCCCTAGATTTCGCCTACCAGAACATGGTCAAGATCTGTAGACTGACAGCATGCTTCCTCGTGAAGCCCATTAACCAATTCCGCGAACCCCGGAGTGATTAGAGTTGCTCCTACATAGCGTCATTAAGGCGCAAGCTTCTCCGAATTACGTTCTTCGTTCATTGCGGGACTCGCTTTGGAATTTTCGGCTGCGCACGGAAGAGGGAAAAATGTTTTCACTCACTTGATCAAAGCACATGCAAGTTTTCGCTTACGTCACTTGACCGGCATCGGACTCAGCGTCTTTTCGCTCGTCCTGAATACCAAACTCGCAAGGGGTGGAGAAGCAAGCGCATCAAGAAAGAAGATTGATTGACGACGGATTGCCTGAACGCGGAATACCTACCCCACCGCCACGATAGCACGGCATCGTAAACCATCTCAGGTGTTGAATCGCGTTTGCAAGCGTTGCCTCTTCCTCTTTTTTGCTTCCTGGTCAAAACGATAATGCGCCGAAAC